ATTCGGAGTTTCTTAGGATTGACAAGCTACTATCGTCGGTTCGTGGAGGGGTTTTCATCTATTGCATCCCCGATGACCAGGTTGACCCAGAAGGGTGCCCCGTTTAGATGGTCGGACGAGTGTCAGGCGAGCTTTCAGAAGCTCAAGACAACTCTGACTACGGCACCGGTATTAGTTTTGCCCACAGGATCAGGGCCTTATACAGTTTATTGTGATGCTTCCCGTATTGGACTTGGTGCAGTGTTGATGCAGGATGGCAAGGTCATTGCCTATGCTTCGAGGCAGTTGAAGATTCATGAGAGGAACTATTTGGTTCATAATTTAGAGTTGGTAGCCATTTTTCACGCATTGAAGATTTGGAGGCATTATCTGTACGGCGTGGCATGTGAGGTGTTCACTGATCACAAGAGTCTTCAGTATTTGTTCAAGCAAAAGGAGTTGAATTTGAGGCAGAGAAGGTGGTTGGAGTTGTTGAAAGATTATGATGTTACCATCTTATATCACCCGGGGAAGGCCAATGTGGTGGTCGATGCCTTGAGTAGGAAGTCGGTCAGTATGGGCAGTCTTGCTTATATTTCGGTCGGTCAGAGACCGCTTGCTTTGGACGTTCAGGCCTTGGCCAATCGATTCGTGAGGTTGGATATTTCTGAGCCTAGTCGGGTATTAGCTTGCACGGTTGCTTGTTCTTCATTGTTGGAGCGTATCCGTGATCGGTAGTTTGATGATCCCTATTTATGTGTCCTTAGAGACACGGTGCAGCGGGGAGGTGCCAAGAAGGTGACCTTAGATGATGATGGAGTTTTGAGATTGTAGGGGCGAGTTTCTGTGCCTAATGTTGATGGGCTTCGAGAGTTGATCTTAGCGGAGGCCCATAGCTCTCGGTACTCTATTAATCCGGGCACCGCGAAGATGTATCAGGATGAAGAAAGATATAGTTGCATCTGTGGCTCGGTGTTTGAATTGTCAGCAGGTTAAGTACAAGCATCAGAGGCCTGGTGGATTGTTTTAGAGGATTGAGCTTCCCGAGTGGAAGTGGGAGCCGATCACTATGGATTTCGTTGTTGGACTCCCGCTGACCCAGAAGAAGTTCGACGCAGTTTAGGTCATTGTTGATAGGCTGACCAAGTCAGCGCATTTCATTCTTGTGGCAATCTCTTATTCATCTGAGAGGTTAGCTGAGATCTATATTCGGGAGATTGTTCGTCTTCATGGTGTGCCTATGTCTATCATTTCGGATCGAGGTACGTAGTTTACCTCGCGCTTCTGGAGAGCAGTTCAGCGAGAGTTGGGCACCCAAGTTGAGTTGAATACAACATTTCATCCCCAGACGGACGGCCAGTCCGAGCGAACTATTCAGATCTTGGACGATATGCTCCAAGCTTGTGTCATTAACTTTGGAGGCTCGTGGGATCAGTTTTTGCCTTTAGCGGAGTTTGCTTACAACAACAGCTACCAGTCGAACATCCAGATGGCTCTTTATGAGGCGTTGTATGGTAGGTGATGTCGGTCTCCGGTTGGATAGTTTGAGCCGGGGGAGGCTCGGTTGATGGGTACGGATCTGGTTCAGGAGGCCATGGACAAGGTCAGGATTATTCAGGATAGGCTTCGTACGGCTCAGTCCAGGCAGAAGAGTTATGCAGACCGCAAGGTTTGAGATGTGGCTTTTATGGTTGGTGAGCGGGTATTTCTCCGAGTGTCGCCTATGAAAGGCGTGATGAGATTTGGGAAGAAGGGCAAGCTTAGCCCTAGGTTCATTGGTCCATTTGAGATTCTTGATCGAGTGGGAGAGGTGGCTTATAGACTTGCATTGCCGCCCAGCTTATCAGTCGTGCATCCAGTGTTTCATGTGTCCATGCTTGGGAAGTATCACGACGATCCATCCCACGTGTTAGATTTCAGCACTGTCCAGTTGGACAAGGATTTGTCTTATGAGGAGGAGCCGGTGGCTATTCTAGACCGGCAGGTTCGTCAGTTGAGGTCGAAGAGTTTTCCTACTGTGCGTGTTCAGTTGAGAGGTCAGCCTCCTGAGGCATCGACCTGGGAGTCCGAGTCCGATATGCGGAGCTGTTATCCTCATCTTTTCCCCGACTCAGGTACTTCCTTCTTCTGTCCGTTCGAGGACGAACACTTATTTTAGAGGTGGAGAATGTGATGACCCCTGTTTTTAATTGAATTATGTGTCTCCGAGGCCTTGAAAACATCATTTAGGATCGCCTCGATTTGCATGCGCAGTCCGGGCGCGTAGCCGGAAAGCTTAAATATGAAATTCTGTGAAAATGGCAAGTTTTGATATTAAAATAAATAAATTTGACTTCGGGCAACATTTTGGGTAAACGGACTCGGACCCGTGATTTGACGGTCCCCGAGGGTTCGTAGGAAAATATGGAACTTGGGCGTATGCCCGGAATCGAATTCCGAGGTCCCAAGACCGAAAAATGAATTTTTAAGTAAAATTGTTTTCTGAAAATATTTAAGGAAATTGGAAATGAAATCTGATTAGAAAGCGATGGTATCGGGCCCGTATTTTAGTTCCGGCACCCGGTACAAGTCTTATATATGATTTAAGTCCTTTCTGTAAAGTTTGGTTGAAAATGGATGTCGTTTGATATGATTCGGACATTAAATGGAAAATTTAATGTTTTATGAAGTTTGAAAGAATTCATGGATTTTGAGGCTTAATTCGATTTATATGATGTTACTTTGGAGATTTGATCACACGGATAAGTTTGTAGGATATTTTTGAGGTTGTGTGTATATTTGGTTTGGAGCGCCGAGGGCTCGGGTGAATTTTGGATAGGCCACTGGTGCATTTTGAACCTTGAGAAAATAGCTGGTATGTCTGACCTGCAGGCTTCGCATTCTCGCAAATGCGAAGCTCACAAATGCGAGCCTTTCACCGCAAATGCGAAGGGGAGACCTGGGCAGGCCTGATCGCAAATGCGACCACTGGGTTCGCAAATGCGAAGGCCAGTCGCAAACGCGATGCCTGGGATCGCAAATACGAGACCTAGGAATTTTTGAGAGGTTCGCAAATGCGAACTGTTTCTTCGCAATTCCCACCTTAGCAGGTCGGGGTTCGCAATTGCGAACCCTTGTTCGCATTTCCCACATCTGAGACCTGCATTTTTTATATTTAGCCGATTTTTGAGCCATTTTTAACATTCTTTCAAAACACAAACTTCTTTGGGTGAAATTCCAAGAACAAGTCTTCTTCCAAATCAATTGTAAGTTAGTTTTTACTCATTTCTTTCAATCATTAACATCATTTAACATGTTTTCAACTTAAAATCAAAGATTTTCATAGGGGAAATTGGGTGTTTTGGGTAGAACTTAGGTTTTTCTAAAATTGGGGATTTGGACCTCAATTTGAAGTCTGACTTCAAAACAAATTATATATTTGGATTCGTAAGGGAATGGGTAATCGGGTTTTGGTTCGAACCTCGATTTTTTACCACGTGGGCGCGGGGGCGATCTTTGACTTTTTGGGCAAAACTTGGAGAAATTCATTTTTATGCATTCAAATTGATTCATTTAGCGTTTATTCATGTAACTAAGTAAATTGTGACTAGATTCGAGTGGATTTGTAGTGGAATTAAGGGGTAAAGCTATAATTGAGACTTGAGTTGTGTTCGAAGCATCGAGGTGAGTGTTCGGTCTAACCTTAGCTAGAGGGATTAGGAGTTGAGTCATATTTGCTACTTGTTTTTTGTTGAGTACGACGTATAGGCATGGTGACGAGTATCTATACGTTGGTGTCGAGCATGACCGTGGGTCTTAAATTGATATTTGTGTATTCTTAATTGATTTTATGAAAGCTTGAATTGATGATTCTCGATACTGAGCAAGGATTTAGTTTATTTCCGTGGACTTTAGTTATGACTGAGTATTGGTATTAATTGTGTCAAGTAGAAGTTGAATAAGATTGGTTATAGCTGACTTTCCCTTGTCGTGAAGTTATTACTTTGTTTTTGTTCCCTTGCTGGGAAGTTATTACATCATTTTGTTTCCCTTGCCGGGATTGTATTGTTGTACTGTGTTGGATGAAATGGGAGCGGGTGGTACGCCTAACACAAGTTATATTGAAATGGGAGCGTGTGGTATGCCTACCACAAGTTATTGATGAAATAGGAGTGGGTGGTACGCCTACCACAAGTTATTGATGAAATGGGAGCGGGTGGTACGCCTACCACGAGTTATGATGAAATGGGATCGGGTTGCACGGCCGCAACGAGATGAGTATTAAAAGTGGAAGTTGCCTTTGTTTATCCTTATCCGTGTTAGTAGCTTAATTGTTGATTTCCTTATTGTCTCTTAAGGATTCTGTTTATTCTGCTATCCCCAAAGCATGTTTCCCCTCCCCTGTTTATTTGTTTATTTCCTATTATTTCTTTCGCCATATATTATATAACTGCACGGGTTTATCTGGAGTCTGGTCCCAGCCTCGTCACTACCTCGCCGGGGTTAGGCCAGACACTTTCTAGCACATGGGGTCGGTTGTGCTGATGCTACACTCTGCACTTATGTGCAGATACCGGAGCAGCATACGGTGCGTAACAGTAGATCGGGAGCCATCCTTCAGTCCACCGAGATACCGAGGTAGTCTTGCAGACGTCCGTAGGCCCGGCGTCTCCTCTATCTTACTTTTCATTCTGTTATTTCATGTATCCGAGACAAACAGTTTAATTTTCTTCAAACTGATGTATGTAGTATTCATAGTAGTCCGTGTATGTTGTGACACCAGGTTTTGGGTAGAGACATGTATTTGTCTTCTAGACATTTTGGTTCTTATCTATATCTGAGTTCCGCTACATCTTATTTTCCGATGTCATTTAACTGCTTATTCACTATTATTTTAATTGGTTAACTTGTATAAAATGAAAAATGGATAAATGATTTCAAAAGGTTATGGCTTGCCTAGCTTCCACGAGTAGGCGCCATCATGACTCCCGATGGTGGGAATTTCGGATCGTGACATCTGATAAGCAAGGAGTAGGCATGATTCAGTGAAGCAAAGGAGATAGCATAAGTAGATTGCTTCTGGCTGCTGCATAAGTGTCATTCAGTCCCATAAGGAACTGAATGGGTCTGTTATCCTGTTGAGATTTGTTGTTTTTGAGTTTACCACCACAACTGCAGCCACAGGTACAGTGTTGGCATATATCCAGACTGTCCAATTCATCCCACAACCTTTTCAGCTTAGTATAGTATCCTGCTATATCCCAATTTCCTTGTGTTGACTCACTCATCTCCTTTTGTAGGTGATAAATTTGTAGTCCACTACTCTGACCAAACCTTTCTTCAAGCTCATCCCAGATTTCCTTAGCGCTCTTGGTGTATAGAACACTCTCTGCTATTGCTTTGGAAAGAGTGTTTAATAGCCAAGAAATGACCATGTCATTACAACGGGTCCAAGACTTGAATTCATCAGAAGAGATTTTGGGCTGAAGAAACGTTCCATCAATGAGTCCTACTTTGTTCTTAGCAGACAAAGCTATGAGCATTCCCCTTCTCCAACCCCCATATCCTCTTCCATCAAAAGGAGAGTTAACAAAAAGCATTCCAGGTGAATCAGAAGGGTGGAGGTAAAAAGGATATGAGGAGTCAAGAAGTGCAGATGCAGCTGTTGCCATATGAGGAGAGCTGGTTACTGTGACAGATGCTGAAGGGAGCTCGACTTGGTCTCCCATGGTTGATTAGGATATAACCAAAAAAAAATAGATTGAAGAAGGATCGAGCACTAAAGCTCTGATACCATGTTAGAAGAATAAGAGAATGAAGATGTAATTGAGAGAATTTTCTGTGCATATTTGATAATGAAATCTGTACAGAACTTGTCCTTATATACAAATAAAAAGAATCTTTCAATAACTAACTAAGCCACTTGCCTATGACTATTAGCTATTCTATAACAAATTTATTGGATAGAAACAAAAAGAATAATTTATCTACAAGAAACAAAAAATTTGCACACATAATCTTGTCTTCTTCTATAGCAGGCCCAAGAGGTTTCAGACGAATTTGGGCCCAATGAAAAATAGATCAAAAACAGCAGCACAAGCACTTTGAGCCCAAAAACACTTGGAGCCCAATTGTGAAAAGAGTCCAAATCCAAATCTCTTATACATCTGCTTTGTTTGGACAGAAGACATTCACCTCGTTTGTGTCAGTCTTCTTCTTCTTCACAATTTTATTTTATATTTTATTCTCAATAATATTTTTTGAGTAAATAAACTTATTATTTAAAAGAAACCAAAATTATTAAAAAAATAAAGAAATTTTGAATTTGCAATTTTTTATTTTTGTAATTTTATTTTTTTATTTTAAAATAATTTTAAAATTCCAGCTTGAAACTACTCTCCAATTTGAATGGACGTTTCTTTTTTAATTTTTGTTTTTTATTAAGAAATATTTTATTTTATTATTTTATAGATATTTAAATTCAAAAATAATAATCAATAACTAATTATTAACTACTTATGCCATGTATTTTTCTTTTAGGATGCCACGTGACTGGAGGAGAAGGCCTTTCCTCCTTTTAATATGTAGATATAGATTTCTCCTTTTCTTTTTCTTTTTGCCTTTTTAAAACTTTTACAGGAGAAAGGGATCTAGAACTTCAAATATGAATTCAATTGAACATGCTACACGTCATCAAACCTATATGCCAAATACGAAAGTTTTCTTGAAATCAAGAAATCCCTGCTCTTCTGGTCTCTTATGCCATGTTAAGTGTTCAATATTTACATATTTCGAGTCTTGTGATAAGAAATCACTTAGCTTGTTTGAGTCGAGAGATTACGAGGGTGTTTGGCTAAAATTATAAGCTGGTCAAACTAGTTTATAATTACTTTTTGGCTTATCTATACTATTGATAAAGTTAAAAATGCTTATAAGTCAAAAATAAGTCAAAAACCATAAGTTGGTCACCCCAACTTATGAATTTTTAGCTTATAAGCATTTTAAGTTTGACCAAAATTTTTACTATTTTATCCGTAAAATATTCCTTTTTAGAACAAAACTCCTACATCGATACTCACTGCCTCAAGTATTCAACCTAACCCTCCCCCGACCCCCCCCCCCCCAACCTCTTCAAGTCTGCAATTCTCATTGACTATTTAAGATAAGCAAATTCTCTATTCCTATGCATACTTATATTTATGTGATTGTGTATTAATCTTTGAACTGTATGTAATACACGAGGACATATCAAATTTTTGGTGTATTGCTTTCTAAGTGTTGTGGTGATGAAGACAATGTTTGTCTCTTCAAATAATTTGTTCTATTTAGTTTTATTTTTGTACTGAGAAACTTTTGTCAATTTATTAATTATTATAACTTATGATTATATGCTTATCATAAAATAAATTATATTTATCATAAAAATGATCTTATCTAAGCACAATTGTATGTAAAACAAAATGACAAATGGAATATTTTGTATTTGAATCGATCTGGAATCTAAAATTTTGAAGAAATTACGCCCTTATAAGTGTAAACAATTCTAAGGTTATTTAAGTCATTTTAAGAGAAAAAGAGCTTATCAGCACTTTTTTATCAAATACTGCAGCAACTTATTATCAATTTCAGTACTTGTACGCAAACACATGTTTATTTATTAAACCAGTGTAGCACTTAAAAATGCTTTTCAACACATAATGCTTATAGCTACTTTAAATCAGCTAATCCAAACGGGCTCTATAACAAGTATCGGATTCGGAGAAATACTTTCTTTTCATTTTCTTAATAGATAGATTAATTTTAAAGAGAATGAAAAGAAAAAATAAAACAAAATTATTTTTCATATTTTCTTTGGGTAAGTGATCGGCACAGACAAACTAATGTGGATCTTTTTAATCGTATGTCTGTAATTTGAATTCTCACCAAATTATGATGGTCACGTGTGGATTCAAGCATCAATTGTATCAAATCTCAAAACGTTCTACCTAATTCTATCTATTCAAGTGACCAAGTGGTTCTACTATTTCAGTACAAAAATCATATCCCTCACTAATCATATTCCTTGAATTTCACATGTATAGTATCAAAGTTCGAATAATGATGGTAGAAATTTGACCAAATTATCCTAGATCCTCAAGTTTGCCATGGCCATTTTTGAATAGTCTTACAAAAATTCCCACGTATATATAAAAAATATATATTTTGGCATGAATTACTTAAGTAGTATAATAATTATTGGGTAAAGCAAAATATGTGAAGCCTAAATTTATTTTGATAAAGAAAATGCATTTCGATTCAATTTAACTATGAAGATTGGAATGTTAAAAGATTACAATATCTCGGACTTTCGGAATGTAACGATTTGACCGGTCATTTTAAGCATTTGCGCTTCGCTCTATAGTTTGAGGGCACGAGTATCTCCACATGATGTGTTATGACATGTATGAATCGTTGGTTTTGGTTTTCAGGTTATTCGGAATCGATTTGGAAGAATGAATTTCATTGTTGAAGCTTTAAGTTGGAAGAGTTGACCAAGTTTGACTTTTGTGAATTTGATTCCAGAACGGAATTTTGATGGTTCCGTTAGGTCCGGATGGTGATTTTGAACTCGGACGTATGCCCTAATTTGCAATTGGATATTTCTAGTCGGATTCGACACTAATTGGCGAAAGTTGAAAATTTGAGGGTTTGGAAAGTTCATAAGTCCGTATATTAAATTCAAAAAACAAATATTGCAAAAAGAAAATCGACCAAAGTTGGTCGGTATTTTAATTATGTAATCAAAAGATCACCATCTGGGAATCGAACCGGGATGTGTACTGTGGCACGATACTATTCTACCACTAGACCATTGGTAAATTTTGTTTTAAGATTGTCTTTTTATTTATTTATACTCTTTAATTATATTTTTCACACGAAAATATCCGACCAAAGTTGGTCGGTTTAATTAAAAAAATAAAATTACCGACCAAAGTTGGTCGGTTTTCTAAAATGACCAACCGAATTAACCGACCAATTTTGGTCGGTTTTAATATTAATTTTTATTTATTTTAATTTGGCCGGTTTCTTGAAAAATAAATTACGGGACTCAAAAATAGCTTCCCGCATTTTTGCGCCAAACAAAAACGACCAAAGTTGGTCGGTTTCGTAAAAAAAAATTAAAATTTTTTTTTAAAAATTGACCGATTTTTTAACCAACCAAAGTTGGTCGGTTTTTCTTGGTCGATTTTTGCCGAATTTCTAGTAGTGTAAGCTTGGTTTGAGGTACAATTCGTTATTTTGATATTGTTATGCGTGATTTGAGGCCTCAAGTAGGTCCGTGTTATGTTATGAGACTTATTGGTACGTTCTGACGGGCCCCCAGGGTCTCGGGTGAGTTTCGGATAGGTTTGGGTTATGTTGCACTTTTTTTTTTTTTTTTTTTTTTTTTTTTATGTTTCGCTGCCGTTTCTTCAAGCATAAATGGTACCACATTAAGCAAATGAGTTCCAATTTCTGTTTTTATTGAAGCATTAGATCCGTATTTGTGACGACCCAAAGGGTCATCACCTGTTTTCTTACTCATTCTGTGTCTCCGAGGCCTTGAAAACCTCATTTAGAGATCCTCGATTTGCATGCGCAGTCCGGGCGCGTAGCCGGAAAGCTTAAATATGAATTCTATGAGAAAAATGCTAAATTTTGACATTAAAATGATTGAATTTGACTTCGATAAACATTTTAGGTAAATGGACCCAGACCCGTGATTTGACGGTCCCGGAGGGTCCATAGGAAAATATGGGACTTGGGCGTATGGCCGGAATCGAATTCTGAGGTCCCAAGCCCGAGAAATAAATTTTTGAGTAAAATTATTTTCTGGAAATAATTATGGAAATTGGAAATAAAATTTGTTTAGAAGACTATGGTATCGGGCCCGTATTTTGGTTCCTGCGCCCGGTACAAGTCTTATATATGATTTAAGCACTTTCTGTAAAGTTTGGTTGAAAACGGACGTCGTTTGACGTGTTTCGGACTTAAAATAGAAATTTGATGTTTTATGAAAATTTGGAAGAAATCATGAGTTTTGAGGCTTAATTCAATGCATATGATGTTATTTTGGCGATTTGATCGCACGATTAAGTCCCTAGGATGTTTTTAAAGTTGTGTGTATGTTTGATTTGGAGCCCTGAGGGCTCTGGTGAGTTTTGGATAGGCCGTGAGTGCTTTTTGTACCTTTGTGAAAATCTGGCATTTTCAGTTCTGGTATCTTCGCATTTGCGAAAAAGTTCTTGCAAATGTGAGCCCCTGATCGCAAAGGGAACCTCTGCACCTGGGTCGCAAATGCAAATTTTTGTCCGCAAATGCGATATAGAGCCCGTCGCAATTGCGACATAATGGCTCGCAAATGCGAAAGTCCCAGATTTTCTTCAGAGTCCGCAAATGCAAACTCATCTTCGCGTTTCCCAAGTTAGCAGGGTCGGGGTTCGCAATTGCGAACCCCAGTTCGCATTTCCCACATCTGAGGCCCAGCAAATTTTATACTTAGTCGAATTTGAACCATTTTTCACCATTCTTCCAAAATACAAACTCCTCGGGCGATTTTTCAAGAACAAACTTCCTTCCAAATCATTTGTAAGTCGATTTTTACTCAATTCTTTCAATCATTAACATCATTTAACATGTTTTCAACTTGAAATCAAAGATTTTCATAGGTGAAAATGGGGATTTTGGGTAGAACTTAGGTTTTCCTAAA